AAAAGAGATAAAAAATAACACATTTAATAAATGTAAGAAGTATACGTTTGCTCTTAAACCTCATAGAGGCACATAGTCTGCTTTGGTAAATTATTTCAAGTGGAAGCATATAAAGAAAATTATGACTATTAATAAGCACTTTGATCTTTATACTACGATAAGTTTGTTTGGAAGGAAATTCTTAGTAATAAAGTTAAGCATGCTTTTTAACTCTAAGCTATGAGTGTCATTCTGTGCTTAATCATTAGATGCTAAATAATTAAATCTTTATCTTTTTGAAAAAATTATTTAAAGTTATGACTTACGATGAACAGGGGATTTTCTCAGCTTTTAGAAGGCTCATAAATCATTGTCTGAGATCAGAAAAATGGGTTGAATTGAAGTACTGAAACTAGGCTGGCAGGGATCTTATCTGTCAGACTAGGCCTATAAATACATTGTTTTGGCTATGGTGATGAGACAATGAGCTTATTTTTCTCGAAGCAGATGAATGTTTTGCTTGTTTGTTTGTTTTTCTTCTGGGGAAAAATGTAGAATTTTGTTATTCTTATTAAAAATCCATGAAGTGGGATTTTGAACTTTCGCGAAAGATTCTTCAAGGAGCTTCCTCCACACAATGTCTGTACTTTGAAGAAGAATTGAAGATTGAGCTATTTTGTAGCTGACATATTGGGAATTTATTTTCGTTTCTCCCATATTGTCAAAGCTTATGATATTTCAAGTTATAAGTGTCAAAAATGTTTACCGAGGTGAAAAACCATTAGAGGTTTTTGTTTCAGAAAGAGAGAGAGGCAGAGAGAGGGAGAGAGGGAGAGAGGAAAAGGGAGAGAGAGAAAAAGAGAGATTGGATTATAATTTTAATTACTACTACTTATTAATTTTTTTCTAAGTGCTAGGTACTATGTTATGTACTGTATGTTTATATACAAGATCTGTAACATCTCTAATAACCTTATAACAAGATGTCTCATTTTCAGAAGATTAAGCAGACAAGAGTAACAGGAAGTTGTCCAAATTATGCAGCGAGTCAGTGGTAGATCTAGGTTTTTTAACTCCTAAAACTTGTGGTAATCTACTTGACTACATCATGCTGGTTGTTTTGGTCCATTGTATGTTCTTGATTTTGGCAACAAATTACCAGACATCTTATATTTAGTAATTTTTTTCTTAATGCTGTGGAAAGATAAAAGCAAAATCAGTTTCATTTTTTTAAAGCAAATTGTTCAGACTGGAGGAAGAATAACATATTTTAAGTAGTTTTATATTTTAACATAGGATTTTTTTTTGCCTTGTGCTAACAATGACAACAAAAACGTAAAGGCAAGCATACAATTCAACATAGATTAAAAGTGTTTTGTTTTACCTCATTTGATTATTTGTAGGTAGTTCTCAATAAACTTCCCCCAAATAATCTGTATTTATCCTCCTGGGTTTGGAGCATCAAATGTTGGACTGTTTTCCTGGGAAAAAGTATTTTTCATACTTCAGAAAATGTTTTTCAAATTAATCATTTTCCTTATGGAGTATGCTTTTTGTGAAAATAAAGATAAACATTGTATAGTGAACCAACTAGAAAATAGTTCTTTTTTGAAAAAAATATCATGGTGCTAATTTTTCTCTTTACTATGGTGGCACTTTTATTGTCATATTTAACTGTAGTGCACCTGACGATTTAGCTGATTGCTTTGTGTTATATGATGTTTAATTAAACAAATAGGAGTATTTGTGCCATTCTAATTTTTCATTGTTGTAAAATTTGCCATTTTAACCTTACTGCCATAGTAAATTTCATATAATGAATATCATTAATCTCTAAGAATATAACCTTGCCTTCACAGTTCTCATTCTATTTTTCATGATAAATGTACAAGGCAAATGCTGGTGATTCTCAAACTTGGCTATATCTCGGCATCTCCTTTGAAGCTTGTTGAGGATAAAAACCAGTCCTATAAAATCATATTCTTTCGGATTAGGCACTGGGCATCTATATTTTCAAAAAGTAACTGAAGGACAGCTGGTAATAGAGCCAGAGCTGGTGAATAAGATTGGATCAACTATAACATATAGCACAACACATTTCTTGATGTTCTAGTTTGTAAATTTAGTTCGAAGTCAGATTTTAGAAACTGAAAAGTTTATTAATTATTTTTTGTTATTGGTAGTGGTATTATTATTGCTTTCAGAAAGCTTCCATGACACCTTATTGAAGATTAGAAAGATCTTTCTGCTAAAGATAGCCTGCTATTTAGAATTCAGATAGAGTTCTGAAACAAGATGAAAAACAACTTACTAATTGTATTTTTTCTTTATCAGAAAGATAACAGAAGATGATAGAAACATGAAAATGTAATTTCTTGAGTTAGATTATTTAAGAATTGGGTAGAGAGTAGAATTTGTATAATAAGTATATCTTGCATAAAGCAGAATAGCCCAAACTTCAGATCGGATTGAACTTATGAATTTTTAAAATAAATTCCCTGAACACGCTGGTTTTACTTATGACATTAATTTCTTTGTAGGTGATTATTAAAAAGCAAAATCAATAAAAACTGAAAAGTAATTTTATATATGAATAAGTAATATTTTAATTAGTAATATGTAATAATGTATATATGCTTAACTATTTTATAATACAATGAAGATGTAGTTCAATGTACCCTTAAAAAATCACTTAGTTATGAATCATAACATATATGGTTTTGTACAGCCCTGCGTAGTGATATATATCTATACATGTATAATAGATAACAGTTTTGTAAGACATGTAATTTTTGTAATTTCATAGCAAAATCACATTCAAATTAAAACATCTAATTATTTACAGTTTTGGAATACTTCAGCAAAATTTTGAAAATTTCAACTTGCTTGCTTTCATGTTTATAATTATTTTCATTTTTTTGGAGGTTATTTTATTAATTCCTTTTTCTGTTAATCAATATTTCTCTATGCCCTTTGTTAAATTCTTCGGGCTCTTCCTTGATGATAACAGCACCACTTGCCTGGCCATCTGAAAGAACCAGTTGGTTTCTTTGTAGGTCAGGAAAACCCTCAACAACATTCATACCTTTTTTTTTTCCAATGAAGTTAGCCAACTGTTTACTGTTTTAAGCTTTGATATATCCTTGCTCAAGGTGTTCTTTTTCTTTCTCTGGGATTATATACAAGAAGTAGTAGTTTCTTCTTTTTAAAAAAGAGGCCAATAAGTAAAATAAAAAGTGACCTTTCATTTTGAGCAAAGGGAGAACTAACATTTGTCTAATGTTTCCTCCAGTGTTTGGCACTTCACACATAGTTTATAATATAATTCTTTTTACATCTGTGTAATATGCATTATTATATTTAATCTGTAGAGGAAGACACTGTGATTTACCATGGTTAAACCCAAAGTCAAACAGGCTGTAAGATGGTGTATTCAGAATTTGAAGTTATTTCTATGTTCAAAGTTCTTTTGATTCTACCACTACACTATGATATTGATTTTTCCTGATTTAACAGGACAAAATTCAAATGATCTTTTAGTTGGGAAGAGGGCAAATAATATTTGTTTGTGTAATGAGACATGTAAGAAATAGTTTTACTAGTAGATTTCAGGGTTTTTTTTTCTTTTTTTTATTTCATAATATTATGGGAGTACAAACATTTTGGTTACATATAATGCCTTTGCTTTGCCCAAGCCAGGGCTACAAGCATGCCCTTCCCCCATAGAGTGTGCTCTGCATCCATTAGTTGTGAGTTTACCACCCCCAAGCCCCTCCTCCCACCTGACTGGCACCCTGTGTTTATTACTACCATATGAGCATTTTAGTGTTGATCGATTAGTACTAATTTAATGGCGAGTACATGTGGTGCTTGTTTTTCCATTCTTGTGATACCTTACTTTGAAGGATGGGCTCAAGCTCTATCCAGGATAATATAAGAGGTGCTAGTTCACTATTGTTTTTTATGGCAGAGTAGTATTCCATGGTATATATATATACCACATTTTATTAATCCACTCATATATTGATGGGCACTTGGGT